CTGATCTCACGCTGATAGGTCTCTTTACTGCGGGTCGCATGTTGCGGACATGTTCGGAGACGGTGGGAATGCAGCCTGGAGAAACCCCGCATGCCTTTTTCGGGCGCGCTGGTTATGATGCTACTCCTCGAGACAATGCCAAGAAAGTAGCTGAGCTGCAGTCGCATAGCAAAAATCGTACGGGAGTGATAGTGTCGGGCCGGCTTTGTACGGCGCATCACAAGATGCTTGGGGCAAACACATACTGGGAGACACTGGCGTGCAAAGAGCACGAACTTGTTCGCAGTAGCAGCACAGACAAGAGGTGGGCTATTCGCGAGTCTTCTGCAGCAGTTGACCGTTTTTACCTCGTTTGTGTTCGGCCACCGCTGGATGTTCGAGTGCCCACTTGGAGTCAACTTCTGTCTGACACAGCTGCCCAGACTGAAGTCACAGCATGTTGGATGAATGCTCCAGTAGAGGATTGGTGGTAATGGCTTTCTTCTGTTTCACTAATTAATCGCTCCGTGTGTCTTCACTCGTTTTGAGCACGTGCAGGTCAATGCATCCTTGTGAGACAAAGAAATGCCAGCTGTAGGTCCGAGTGCTGCGCAGGGCTGTGAGATGCTGCATTGAGCAGTGCCCATGTTTTGCGAAATTACATGTATGAGTGATCTTGGATATTGCTGATGCCGTTTGAGAGTTCTTGGTCTTAGTAGATTCGGGTCGACATGCAATCCGCTTCGTGGTGTTCTCGTTCGAGTCGTGCTGCTACATCGAGTAGGCAGTCCCCTGAAGATTCCAACATTCTGGATGTGTCCAGTGATCTTGAGTGTCCTGAGCCAGTCTTTGACCTCCGACGTGGCAGAGTCCCGATTGCAGATTGGGAGCAGCTTTCGCCACCTGTTGGTATTGCAGAACATATGGCTCATCGAGCAGTGCGCCAAGGTCTGATTGCGTATGATGAATTACTTTATTTGGTCTGCTGCTTGCCTGGTTATGATTTATCATCCAGACCGATATTCAGCTCAGAGGAGCAGTGCCCACGGTCCTTTATTACGGGCGCATGTGTTCATGGTGGTACGGCAGCTATTCTTTCCAATTTCAGCAGTTATCCTTGGACCACACGGCTGTTATGCTGTATTGCCAGACAACAAGCACCTACCTTCTGGTTTACGCCCATTGCAATTAATCTTAACTGCCAGTCATCGATTCACATAGATTCCAACAACCATTCGATGTTACCCAGTGCTATTATACCTGCGTCTACGTTTACAGGAGGACAGTTGTGGGTAGAAAATGTCGCAGGATCTATTGTTGTGGATGGAGTGCCAGGAGATGCCATCGATATACGGCTACCATTTGTTACGTTCTTTCCCAGACGCAGACATGCTACCCTGTCTTGGACGGGGAATCGATTGGTCATTGTTTTGTATCATTTTTGCGAAGCATGGAAATTATCTGAAATGTATAGAGCAAGACTTGAGCGAGCCGGGTTTCACATTCATGCCAGTGATGTCTTGACGGACCCCTATCAGTAAAAGGACAAGAAGCGTTGGAGAACAAGTGCAGTGGCATGTGCAGCAGTTTGTGGAGTGTGAGCAAACTTCCAGTGTCATGATGCAGCCTGTGTTCAAGTGACGATTTGCTCCGGTTTTGATACTAGCTTTCTTTGCCATGGTTTCCAGCGTCAGAGAGCATTATGGCGACATCCTAGAGTGCTTGAGTCACAACTTACGTATGGAGCGGTACCATATCCTCCGTGATGACACTTATTCCGCTGAGTTTCGCAGTATTCTTGCTGTACGCATCCATCAGGACAGTGGAGCTTTGGTGGAGCAGTATTTACGAAGTGCGACTCGAGTCGGAGGTAATCGAAGTGCATTCCGGCAAACAAGCCAGTCGCATCAAACACAGCCACCTCCACCCCCAGCCCCTCCTCCCCATTCTCTTCCTCCTCCCCCCCCGCCTCCCCTCTTCCCTACTCCCCTGGCGGCCTTTTCCCACCTCCCCCTCCCCCTTTCTTCTTCTTCGGCCCACCGCCGCCGCCTCCACCGCCGCCCGTATTAGTTGGAGCAGGCAAAGGTGGACACAACATATTTGCGGCGCCAGTGGATCAACCTGACCCCCAGTCTCCACTTTTAGAACCAAGACAAAGGTCAGCATCCACATTTCAGGCCAGACCACCCACCCTATCTGGACCTGCGTTACCAGGGAGCCAATCGCCGTCTCACATACTTGAGCCTGCTGAGAGCGTGTCCTATCGCAGATCCAGTGCTGAGTCTGCCAGTACAGTTAAGTTGCAGCAAGGGTCAGCCAATAGTATGAGAGAGCGATCTAGGTCTCGCGACCGTGAGACGGAGGACCGTAGCAGCTCGGAAATGTGGTAGACGCTGTCAACGCATCGCAGGGAGTGCGCAAACATCAAGTGATTGTGCTGCAGCATGTTCTGAAGCTATGAGCTCCGTGTCTGTGTTTAGAATTCTCGGCAGGGCTTCCCGCGCGTGAGTGCACTGTGGTAACATCCTAGAGTGCTTGAGTTGCCATTTGCGTTTTCACTGCGCAGTGTGCAAAGAGACTTCCCAGCAGCCGTTCCTTTGCTCATGTGCCAGTCTGATTTCGTGCATCTTTCGTAGGTACGACAGCCATGAAGCGAGGTGTGACTGAGACTTCCGCACCCGGGTCTACTGGCAATGACGAGTTGTTTCTTCGCGAGCCCAAACGAGCTCCTCCACCTGAACTGCTTGTAAGTTTTGGGTGACTGGTCTGCTAGAGGGACTCGGTACTGGCACTGCTTCCTTTTGAAGTTCCCGCCAACGCAATTGTTGATGATATCAAAGAAGCGATTTCGGTTCGGATGAGCCAGAGTCAGTTCTACTTGTCCAGGCGTGTCTTCAGACTCTCACTGAACGGTCAGCACCAACCTTTCTTTGCCAAAGTTGACACCATTCGCATGGACATGACCTTGACTTTTGAGTGGGCAGATGCTTACCCGGACAAGAATCAGCCCGGAACAGCTAGTCGACCATAGTCTTTCCTGCCGGTAGCGGTGTTCTGTATGTGTGACTTCCAGTGCCAAGAAGAAACTTCGTGCGTCGTGTTGCAAGGGAAGCAGCGAGCATCTCTGCATTGCACTGTTGCTGTCTTGTTGGCGGTTCTGTAGGTTGGTTCCAGAGTCTGTTCTTGCGGTAGAGCCTCGCCGACGTGCTGCCATGAGCGCAGCCGATGCAATCCATGACCTTGTTTTCCGTTTTGCTGCGTTTAGGTGACACTCTTTCTTCTTTTACAATGAGTTTGACATGGAATATCGCGAGCATCAGCAGTTCGATGTGACTTATCCTCCTGCTCTTCGACTAACCCAAGTCGGACAGTCGCAAATTGATCAGCTGGGTAGAAATGTCAGTGACAGACTTCGAGTGCACTGTCGAGCTATTACCGTCCGAGCCGACATTTTTGACTACGTTGCCTATCAACCATTCGTGCGACCCGGGCAAGTCCTTGTGCAATTGGATTATATGTCTCCTGCGATGCCTCATCTTACAGTGCTCGCTAACGTCAGCCGATTGTGGCATCATTCCGTTTCTAGAGTGACGCGTCGACATAACATGGTGGACTATCGAAGACTGCAGCTGGAGTCGCAGAGACGTGACCTGGTCTGTTATTGGGAACATGGCGCCGGGCATGATCGATTTACGCTGCATGCTGATCTCATTCCTGAAATGCAGCTGTTGCGTATCCGCAGCCCTGTATAGTTTGCCTAGTGTTTAAAGGAGCAGGCGCCAGCGCTTGCAGCTGATTCGCAGTTTTGACACAGCTCGTGTGAGAAAGGGCTTCCCTCCTTCTTTCTTGCTTGTTCTACGTGATTGCTGCGCTGATTGCACAATGCAGCTAGTGTTGTGAGGCAGCCGAGTTGCGTGGTATGCACAAGCCTGTTGGTCAGAGCTCGAGCAATGCTGGGTTGTTAGCGCTAGACCTGTCGGCATGTCGTCGGCCTGTGATCCGCTTGCACCATTACAGCGCTGGATCTCTTATACGCAACATGAAGTGATGCAGCTCAAGAGAGAGTTGCATGAGAACAAACAAGAAGTTCAGGCTACGCAAAAGATACAACAGCAGCAGCTGGACAGCCTGCAGATGCAGATTCGTGAGGAGGGGCAGCGCCTAAACGAGACAATGGATGCGGTGACTGAGTTATTTCGCAAGCAGGAGCAGACGCAGAATCTACTTTTAAAGCTTCTGGCAGATTTTTCTGCCTTGCAAGTTCACAGCCAACCTCCAAATGAGAGGGTTCAGGACATACCTGCCACACAGCCTTATGAGTAAAACTACCCCTTCCTTCGGGAAGGGGTGTGTGTGTGTGTGTGACTCCTGTTGCCAAGGATTTGCTGGTAAACATTTGCAGTAAGTGAGGGAGCATCAGTGAACGTGTCCGTCCAGTGTCGGAGTACCAGGCAACTGAGCATCAGTCAGCATAGGTCTCAAGCAGGGGGCACAGGCCTGTCTTGGATACCTGTGCCAACGAAGCTATTCCAAGACAGGGGAAGGGTGGTCTGAGCAACCACCTGTACCTGCGATATTTTTGGTAGTCTCAATGATTTAGATTGCTTCAGCAGACTCAGTTTGGCATGGGGCTAAGCCAAGAACCCCCCCAGTGTTGCTCGAGTGCAAGATTAAGGACTTAAGATTGGTTGTCAAACCTCTGTTCAGTTCACAGTTGGAGACCTGCACATGTATGTGTGTGTGTGTGTGTGTCTGTGTCTGCGTCTCACGGTTCGATTTTGGCCTAGAGTTACACTGTTCTCAAATAGCTGCTGCAGAAAACTGTCGCATTACATCGCCTGAATGCACAATGGCACTGAAGATTCGTGTAAGTTGATTGGCTGGACTGCAAAAAAACGCAGGCCTACAGAGACTTGCTTTTCCCGACAGCTCGTCCAGAAGTTCGTTTTGGCCATGAAGTTGCGACACTACAGCACAAGCACAACAGTCATTGGCCGGGCCATCCTTGAGAGTCGGCCTAGGAATGCTTTTTGCCTTTCCAACATCATCGCAGCCACTGCGGTGATCGGCCTCCAGGTGAGAAAGCCTTGGGGTGAGCATTGTAAGGCGGCAATAAGATGTGTCCGGAGGCTCCTTTTGAACTGCTAGATTGGGCGACACCTGGCGATTGAAGCTTGTTGGTGGTTGAGGGTCTAGAGTTGCAGTCACAGGTTCCAGCAGCCGTGGGGTGTGGCATAGTGACATAGCAGCTTTCTGCACACACTGTTTTGGACTGCTTGCCGAAAAGTTCGAGTCTCTGATGTTCACGGAAAGCTGACCATGCACATCCATGTGTCTTGACTGGGCGAGGTCTATTTAGCCCCAGTTTCTACATGACCCGTGCACCTCATGCGAATGACTCCATGGAGTCTGGTACGCAACGAAAAACAGAAGAGTGACAAGACAGATCGCTTGGCACAGGTGCCGGAGGGCATGATCGTGAAGCGCGTCCTGAAGCCCGTGTGCGCCCAATTCATCATTTGCACCTTGGTTCTCTTGCCCTTTATTTATGCCTGATCAGAAGGGTCGGAGGAGACAACAAAGTAGACAATTCAAGCACGATTGTTCACTTCGTGGATATTGAATCGCATGCAGGTGCTGTTTGATTGCTCCAGTGCGGACTCTTGGAAATCAGGCAGAGAGGCCCCAGGGACTCTTCCGACTCTGTCGGAGTCTTGCACTTTTTCAAAGACACCGGACCTTTGCAGCGACAACGCGCAGCCGGTGGTCCTTTGAATTGGCGATCTGTTTCTGCTTGAATCATCTCGAAACCTTTCCTTGCAGTGTTAAGTTCCAAGCCCACCTGGTGGCACTCGCATCCCATTGGGAACCGGCGAGATAGCTGGGCGTAGCTTGGATTGTTTCCTTGCTGGGCAGCTGAATTCTGGGCACGTACATCGATACCATCAAAACGTGATATGTGAACGAGCTTCGGGAGAGTTTCTGGCGGGGAAGTCATGCTGGCGATAAGCACAGGCGCCCAGTTTGCGAGAATTTTAGTATGACTGGTGATGTGTGTTGATGTCCGCACAGAGAGAGCATGTCCTGTTAGTTTGTCGGTTCTGCTGCCATGAGTTAAACTCAGAGCAGGGAGACTGCCAGAGTTCTTGCTGAGACAGCCCTCAGTCGCAGGAGGACTTTTATCAAGACAGGTCGTGGGAACACGGCCGGCTCAGGCTGCAGTCAACTCTTGCAACGCGATGCAAATTTAGCATCTGAGCCCAACACGTCTCCGACAAGGCTTTTCAGAGGTGAACGCTGTTGGGGATCCTTGGCATCTGCGCCGTGAACACACTGCATGGCACATGCGAAGAGTCAGTTCGCCCAAATCCAAGTTCTGGACGGTGCCAGTGCTGTTGATAGGGGATGACCCTAGCATAAGTCCAGATATTTTCAGTGATGCATTGATTGGCCCCTAGACCCTAAACTCGGAGTGCTAAATGCGAAATGGCTCTGAGCGGGAGTTGGTGTCCGGGCCTAGGGATCCTAGGGATCCCAGATTCGACTCCGTTCCTGGCACTGAGGCCCACGTCCTCAATTTGCCACCCTCCTCTTCTGGATGATGTTTAAGCTGAGTCTTCGGCTAGCTGCGACGGGGTCCAGGAGACAAATGGCTACCTGTTCGTAGTCTCCCTTGCGCATGCCTGGACCCAGACCCTTGAGCCCTAGCAACGCGATGCGCAGTCCCTTTTTGGAAAGGGGACACTTCTCGCGGCCGTCTGCTGCAGGCACTCAGTGAAAACTCGCGGAGCTGGTCCAAGCCAGGGCGAGCCAGCCATGCAGGAGCCAATAGGCCATTGCCGTGCTAAAGAGAGCACGGTTTTCGCGTGCCATGGCTTCCTGGCTTGCAACTTGGGCTTCGAGGCCAACGGCGGGTGTTTCTGAATGTTCAATGTATTGGTCATCCACGGATGGGCATGCTCGGGCACCTGCCGATTCGATGGCATGGGAGGTTGTGTTAAAGAGGAGTGATCATTGTAACGTCAACACGTTTCTTTGTATTCTTTCCCCGGACTGACATTTGCATTCATGCATTTTGTGTGAATGCTGCATATGCTGCATCCTGAGGCGCCGGTCGTGACGGAAGCCGCCAGGAAAAGCTGCTTTCAGACTTTGCTGCGCCTTTCGTCGCTGCCCAGACCCGACCGAAGGACCCGGACCCTTTGTCGCCTGTGCAGTCTCCTGCCGGGGCCGGGTGCTATGGCAAGTATGGCAATGCGGGTGTCGCTTGAGCCCTAAAGGTTTCGGGGTAAAGTCGAGGCAAACCTAATAGGGACTCCCCACCCCAGATCCTAGCCTGGGCAGTCAGTCCTAGGACGGCATTTACAGAAGCGTTGCAAGTCTTCTCCGGCTGTTAAGACCCTAACCCTGAGGTTGGGATTGAGGTTCCAGATCTGGTGGGTTTTGGAAATAGAGTCCAATTGTGAAAGGTTTACATTGCCACATGATTTAGGTGGTGACAACGAGGTGGGGAGTCTGGTTAATTAAGTTTCGCGCATTCGAGAATCCTGTCCAAGCAGAGAGTTAGGAGCCCGGTGGAGACGTGCGAACACGGTCATTCGGCTTGTTGGCTACATGTGCGTTTGGGCTAAGTGTTGAATCCAGTATATTCTAAAGTTCTCGCAGAGTTTCATAGTTTCTTCTTGGTTTTTTGTTGGTAGCTGCATCCACGCAGCCACCTGACCTGGAGCAAGGTGCGATGTCTGCGCGGATGCGTCTGAAAGCCCAGCACCGCCGCTTTGAGCTCTCATTTTTCCTGTAGGCCAAAAGACCCTGAGCCCTAGCCCTTATAACTTTGTTTCACACACCAAAACTAAGCTGTAAAACCCCCCGACCTAGAAGCTTTTGCGTGCATGTGCACCTAAAGCCCCCAAGCCCCTCCGACCTCAACCCTATAAGGGCCACCTCAGCGCCAGCCGGCACTGCAGAAGGTGCCTGCGTCAGCGGTGAAAGTGTTGCTGGGTTTTGGGTCAAGGGATGTGGAGATCATGGTTTACGGCTTCAAGTGCTTTCCTACGAGCGCGGCTGGCTGTAACGTCTGCCAATCAGAATCTGAGCCAGTACATCTCACCCAAAGTTCGAACTACACCTTGCCCGAGTTTCGGAAGCCCGAGACTTGGAATCCTTGCGCCGCGAGCTCAAGCCAAAAATGTGTGCCTCAACTGCGGCGCAAGGTCGGGGCAGTCGAAATCGAGAAGGGTTCCGAGTTTGGAGTTTCAGGGTTCAGGGTTTGGGGCGTAGAGCGTCTGGCGTAGGCTTTAGGAGGCTTCGGATTTCGGGATGCGGTCTTCAGGATTCCGTGGCTTGGAAGTTTGCGCCAGGCTTCCGAGGTTCTGGATGCAAAAGGGTGCAGCGCAACACGCCGGGCCCGGGCTTGCAAATCCGGAACCAAAAAGCCCAAATTCAGGCACCCCATGCCCGGCTAGCAATCCGAAGATTGCGATGTGAGCTGAGGGTCCCTGTACAGCATAAGCAGGACAAAATTTATCGCCAGTGTGTTTGCTTTTGCCTTCGAACAAACCGAACCCAGAGCCGGTGGCCTTGAACCTGACACTGACCTCCGGCAGGCGCTGACGGGTGATACCCATCTCCGTGAAAGGTGATGAGTTGCCCATGTGCCCTGTCCGTGTTGTCTCCTGAAACCCTAAACCCGAAACCTCAAAGTCTGAGCCTAGACCTAAACTCCGTTACAGGGTTGGGCGCACTGTAGGGCTAATCATACAGGAATCTGCAGTTGAGAAGAGTTCTGGGGGGGCGGGGGGGGGGGGGGGG